CGACCTGCGCGCGGGAGCGGCCGACGTCGGTGTCCGTGACGAAGAAGTTGTTGCCCAAGTCGGCTTCGCACACGGTCGCGCCGTCGCAGATCTCGAACGTGCCGATGCCCGGGAGCACGAGGTTCTTGAGCGTCTCCGAGCCCGTCGGGCCCGCGTTCAGGAGGAGGAGATTCGTGGACATGAGCTTGCGCTGGCCCATGGCGCCCCACAGGCGGAGCTACATGCAGTCGGGCGTCAGGCTCCGCCCATCGTCGCGGCCAAGAGCGTACCTGGCGATCGTACTTGTCGGACGTGGCCATCGTGCTTGTCTTCTTGGACTGTCGTTTGGTTGCCTCCGCACGTTATCCGGAAGGATCCGTAAATGTCGAATCGCCTTCCGATTGGCTAAAAATGGCCCATGACGTGGCAAATCCTGACGCACGCAGCAAGAACAGTCGCAGCGCAGACCAGCGATAGCACCAGTGCGAGGTGTACAGCGCTAGACCTAGTAGCAGTCTTCTGGCGACTTGTGGCCTCTACGCGAGGCAGAAAGCTGGCCTGCCATACAAACAAACTGTGCGATTATGGATGGCGACAACCACCACTCGCATCATCGTGCTCTCTCTTCGCGACTCCATAGTATGCGTCGACGACGAGCCAGGCGCGTGACATGCATGTAGTTGAAGACAGCTTACCCAAGTACCCACGGCGTGGGCGAAATGCCACAAGAGCGAAGCACATGAGAGTACAAGGCAGCATCCAACTGCAATGTGGGCAGCGCGTTTGTGATGGCGAGGTGGATGATTGAGTTACCGCGACCGACTCGAGATGGATGCAGGAAAGGCGCCATGTACTCATATGCTCAGGCAACGCGGCCAGTCGTGTATGGGAATTCACGCACTTGTCCATGGGCATCAAGGGCAAGAAGATCACGCTCGTTGCACCGTTGCCCAAGTCGTCCATCCCACTGTAGACCACAGTAAGGGAATATACCCCTGGACCGAAGAGAGCTCCGGCATCATCGATCATGCCTGAATCCTTGTTCATGTAGTGTGTTGCCGTGGTATAGCACTTGTGCTACCCAGACCCGATATTAAAATCTATAGTACCTTCGACCACTCTTTACTTATCTCCTATTCTATACTAGTACTAACGTTAGCAGATGAGAGCCAACATGGACTAGTTCCAGTAGCCAAGTCGATTGATATGCAAAACACGTATTCAAGAAGAGTTACTCGTCGCTAGTGCCCAAGGCGGTGCAGCTGAGCCTCCAGGTCCCGGATTTCTTTCGAGAGCTCTTGGGTGCGTCGGTAGAGTGCGCTTTTCGAGAGCCCTTCGATGGTGGTTTGCAACTCCCGGATCGTCGTCGCGTTGGCCTCTTGGGCGGCTTCGGCCGTGACCGCCCGCGTCTCGAGCGCCTTCATGTCGGTCTTGGCTTGTGCCTCCTGCGTCTGCAGCGCCGCTTCCAAGGCAGCTACGCGCAATGCGAGGCTCGTCGTCTCCTCCTGGAGCTTCGTCTTGGCCTCTGCGAGCGCCGACTTGTCCGACGAGAGCGCGTTGACGCTGGCCGAGAGATCGTTGCTGGTCGACATGAGCTTCAAAATCTTGTTCTCGAGGCGCAGCTCGTTCGATGCTGCGCGGGCTGCTGCGGCGTCGGCTTGCGCTTTGAGCGCCTCGTAAGCCTTGCGTTCTGCCTCGAGCTCTGCGGCTGCGACCAGGTCTGGCGGTGCCGGTGGTTCACCGAGACCCACCTCAATGTCGCTGTCAAAGTCCGTGTCTTCCATCAGCGGCCCAGGGAAGATGGTCCACTGACTCACTTCGTCGACGTCGCCGCAAGCAGGGCAGACCACACGGCGGCCGCGCACTGCGTCTGCGTACTTGGCTCGGAACTCGGCGCCCTTGGCGGCGAGGGTGGCACTTGCTTCGGCCAGCGCCTTCTCAAGGTCGGCCGAGAGGCGGCGCGCGACGTTCGCTGACGTCTCATGCGCTGTCACGAGGTCCGATTCGAGAGCAGAGACTGCGTCCTGAAGAGCAGATAGCGCCGCTTGGTGTTGCTCGTCACTTTGAAGAAGCTGAGCACTTCGAGTGCGCTCGGCTCGCAGCTTTTGGCTCTGCGCTTTGGTGGCACGTCCAGCTGCTGCCTTGGAGACCGCAAGTTTCTGCTGAAGCGCGTCCGTCATGACACCGTGCTGTGCCTTGGCAGCGGCAAGCTCCGATCGAGCAGCAGCAAGCTCAGAGACACCGGCCGAAGCCGCTTCTTGTGCCATCTTGAGGCTTGCTTGGAGCTCCTCGACGTCGGTGTCGAACTTCGAGGTCGCGCCGGCCAAAGCCGCTTGATGCGCTTCCTCAAGGCTGACCTTGAGCTTCTCGACG